CATCAGAAAAAGTTTCAGAGCATACATCAACTTTAAAGGAAAGATTTTTCTGTTACCAATATTTCTCTTTTGATAATGTTCTTAATAGCAGTAACGTGATGTTTGTGGCCATTAATACAGACAAGGTTTTAAATCGATCAGTATCAAAAATAAACCAACCATCATTAAAGCACCTCTAGAAGTAGTTATCCATATCCAATTTTGTAGTAGTACATTTCCTGTTATTTTACTACTATTACTTTAATCGTATAGCCAAAAAATGATGTAGTTTATTCGAACATTCTGCTAGGTTTTTCAACAGGAAGTTGAAATTGAACAAACTGATGTAACGAGGAACCAAACGAATAATTCTGAGAAAAAAAGGAAGAGTAGATGTAAACTGTTGGAGAAGAATTTGGAAGTATTCTCTCTTTGGTTCATTGATTGCGCGTTCAATAGTAGAGATGAATATGAGGGGTTTCTCACTTTACACAAAGAGTTATGACCACATTTCTCAAGCTATATAAATTAGAAAGATCCCCACATTTGTACCAATTGAAATCATCATCACCCCACTGTTCAATTTTACCAATATGAGCGGCTCCAGTATTTAAATTTAAATTTAAGGTTCTTAGTACTAAACAAATTTGATTCAATTCTGAATTATGAATATAAGATCTAATATTTAGTAAAATTCAAGGTACTTTTCGCTTTTATATTTATATCTCATGTTAGAAAATATTGAGTTCAATTAAACACGTAACATATACCTTTGTACAAAGGAAACAAAGTGGCGTTATTATTTGGTAGTAATTTGTTTGCTTGCTGTGATGAACAGCACGGCGCATGTAAAGAAAGCCAAATTTGAGCACTAAGGACGACTCACAAATTTTGTAAAAATCCAAGAGGTCATCTGCACTTAACAGGAAACATTAATGGTGGAAGGCTAAAGTTGACTTAATAGAGAACAAACAAAGTGAGAACTAAAGACTGAAGCATTGATTCCATTTAAGGATTGAAGACGAAAAAGTCCTGGTTTTATACCTAGAAACTAATACCAACAAACTGGAGAGTTTAAACTAGCTTGCTGTTCAGCTAATAAAGCAATATATAATATGACAAAACATCTTAGTAGTTGGCAAGCATGAAGAAATTAAGTGGGCGTTTGGACATAAAAAAGTGAAACTTTTTTCAAGTGAAAATTAGAGTTGTGTTTGGATATAAATACAATTTTGGACAGTTTTTGAATTTTTATGAGTGATCTGAAGTCAAAATTTTGAAAAACAACTTTTCGAAGTTTTTCAAATCTTCACAAAAATCCGAAATTCATATTTAAATGAAAATTGAAATTTTCATAATTTAAAAAAAAATGAAATTTTTCCGAAAAAAAGTAATTTTTTTTATGGCCAAACGGCCCTAAAGCAAGGGTGCCTTATCTCCATTGTTGACAAACCTGTGGTGTCTTTAACTTTATTAGGGGCACCACCAAAGATTTTGATGGCATAAACATGTTCCAACATTTTTAATCAAGGTCTCGTGTTCAAACCTTGAATATGAAAAAAATCCTAATTAATAGAAAGTAGTTTCCCTTTAAATAGGTCTTACACGATATGTATTTAGATTAGTCGGTGCTCCAATAAGAATACATCATACGGTAAACAAAACAACTGTATTTGCGGCCACACCTATCCACTCTTTTTTGTCCAAACTCTTAATACAAACAAATTCTGCTTTCAAGATTTAAAATAAGTTTGGATATTTTCTAGGGGCTTTGCAGATTTGGCAGTTAGTAAAACTAGTTTTCTTGACTCTTCTGAGGTTTTGGTCATAAATAACATTTCATTTTCGACTTGAAAAAATAATCTGCGAATATGATATATATACCATGATAAATGAAAGAAGATTGTTAAATTTATTGATTAATGACATGAGAGCTGGATTTTCCAGCTCTCTTCCTAAAATCCTGCAGACTTTCTTTCAAAAAAGAAAAAAGGGACAAACAGAATGTCAAAATATTGACTTATGGAGGGAAACTGCACCAACATAATGTAAGCTGTTAATTTGAAATTTGAAAAATAAAAAGGATAAACAATGTTAAAGTTCTGAACTGACTTTTTTGCTGGAATTTCCCTTTTATTAAATGGGGGAAAGAGAATTAAAAAAGGAGCAAAAAGATAGAAAAAGAAAAAAAAAAGTCTTAAAATAAAGACAGTAGGAATAATAAAAGAAAGAAAAATGAAAAAAGAAAAGTAAAAAAGAAGCTGACACAATCATGAACCGACAATCATTGTGGTGATAGCAATTGACCCAAGGGAGGTAAACTGGTAAAGAACCGAGATTGAATAAACCAAAATTTACACGTTGAAAATTCTGGAGGAGTGACACTATAGGTCATTTGACAAACCGACAGAGAAGGCACCAAATATCTTGGTAATAAAGATAGAACTTTAATTATCTCATGTTCTCACCAAAACTAAAATAAAATTTACTGGGGACTATCTGGGATTCATTCGAGGGTGTGTTTCATTTAAGAAAGTTTTATTATAGGAAGACTTTTTTTCTTAAAAAGGACTATTCTTTAGTGTTTAGTTCACGGAAATAAAGTTATGAAATGGAGAAAAATAATCTCCTTTATTTAAGGACGAACGTTTTTTTTTTCTTACAATTATTTAAGGCTTGGGGAATCTTAGTAACACGTTTGATTGATTGAGCTTTAAACTTATTAATACGAGACATATTATTAAACTTTAGTAGTCAAATAATTTTCATGAGAAAATTATCTTTTACTCACTATTGAAGTGCAGAAATGATGACTTGAGTAGTTAGGGGGTCGTTGGGCAAAAGTTAGAAGGGACTAGTTGGTTAGGGCGGTTACTTAACAGTGCAAAGTCTGTTATAAATGCACTGTTAAGTACCTAATTGTACAGGACTTTCATTTTCAATAATACAGTCGACTCCCTTCTTCCTCTCTTCTTCTTCTTCCTCTCTCCTCCTCTCAATACAAAATCTATGCCCTACATAGAAATGACAGTCGATTAATCTGCATGTTGCTCGATCTGATTAACTGAGAATTCTACAAATTTACATGGTATCAGAGCAGGTTCCTGAAATCAAAGTGTTCTCCGACGAGTTCACGGTGAGATTCCGGCGGAACGGCTGAGTTTCTGGTAAATTGACATCGACGAAGCTCGAAACTTATCAAAATGACAAGAGATGAAGTAACGCAGCTAGAACACAATCATCCATTGTTTCTCCAAGCATCAAATGTTCCGGGACTAGTTTTAGTGCCAACTAAGCTCACAGGGCCAGAAAATTATGCACTGTGGAGCAGGGCAATGAAGCTAGCACTTAGGGGAAAGAGCAAGCTTGATTTTGTAGACAGAAGTTGTGCGAAAGGCATGTATAGAGGTGAATTAGCAGAGCAGTGGGAGAAGTGCAATGCGATTGTGTTGTCATGGATAGGCAGTACTGCTGCAAGTGAATTGATACCGAGTATCATGTTTGCATCAAGTGCAAAGAAGGTGTGGAGTGATTTTAAGAAAAGGTTTGACAGATGCAGTCTCACTAGGATCAATCATTTGTGGGCAGAAATTGCATCACTAAGGCAAGGCACGGATTCTGTAACCACCTATTATTCGAAAATGAATGATCCGTGGAATGAATTAGACATACTAGCACCAAAACCAGGCTGTGACTGTGAAGAATCTAGACCATTACTTGAACACCTATCACAACAGTGTTTGTTGAAGTTTCTTATGGGTCTAAACGAAAGCTATAGTAATGTGAGAAGCAATGTGTTGATGAAAAGGCATGTAGTAAGTGTAAATGAAGCTTATGCCATAGTGCCTCAGGAAGAGAATCAAAGGGCTTTAGGAGTGGCTGATATGAATAAGGACCCATTGACTATGATGGCAGGCAGGCCTCAATACAAGTGACCTAGTAGGACTGCTAGGTCTGTTATATTGATATAAGGGACATTTGAAGGAGAATTGCTATAAAATAGTAGGATATCCAGCGTATTTTAAAAGCAAGAAAAAGACTCATGTTGTAGGAGGAAGCAGGACATTTGCCAACAATGCAAGTGTAGAAGAAACCAACAACTCTGAAGGGCAACCACAAGGGCATTACCCGACACAGGAACAGTAGAAGCAACTAGTAGGACTGCTGAACAAACCTACAGGTGTAAAATGTTTCACAAACATGGCAAGTATTGTTTCTTTAATGTCCAATGCCACAGAAAAAAGATTGGATAGTGGATACAGGTGCCACTCATCACGTAATCTCTAATAAGGATTTACTAGATACACTTAATATCATTGATGGATATAGAAGTGTACAGTTGTCAACAGGGAAGACTTCAAACATTACACATACAGGAAATGCACAGATTCTAGGAAATAAGAAAGTGAAGGATGTGCTTCATGTACCAGATTTTAAATTTAACTTGCTATCACTGTCAAAGCTCTCCAAAGACCTTAGTTGTCTAGTTGCCTTTTACCTTGACTTCTGTGTGTTGCAGGGACTCTAAAGTGGCAAGGTATTGGGGATTGGTAGAGAACATGAAGGACTGTACATAATAAAGCAAAAGGATGCAGAAAACAAAGCACTGGTGGAAGGCACAATTGCAAAGGAGCGAGCAGAAACAGCCTTATGGCATTATAGATTGGGGCATTCCTCAATAAAATCATAACAACGATTATCAGTCTTGAATAATAAAATCAGCATTATAGAAACAGGAACTTGTGATATATGTCCTCTTGAAAAACAATATAGGATGTAGTTTCCAACTAGTGTTTTCAATTCAACTAATATCTTCGAACTTCTTCATTTAGATGTTTGGGGACCACACAAGGTTCCAACCTATGATAAGAAATAATATTTTGTCACAATAGTAGATGATTACAGTAGATACACCTGGGCATGTCTGATACAGTCAAAGTGTGAAGTGTGTGTAGTTCTGAAAAACTTTCTACTGATTAACAATCACTTTGGTGCTAATGTCAAGTACTTAAGATCTGACAATGGGACAGAATTTTGTAATACACAGTGTGATAGCTTGTTGGCTTCTTATGGTATTATTCATCAAGCTAGTACCATATACACCACAGCAAAATGACACTGTGGTAAGAAAGCACAGACACATTTTAGAGGTGGCCAGAGCACTCAAGTTTCAAAGTGGAGTTCCTATAAGGTTTTGGGGTGATTGTGTTAAGACTGCAGTATATGTGATCAATAGACTGCCTACGCCAGTTCTGGAGGGAAGAACTCCCTATGAGCTGTTATATGGCAAAGAACCTAAGGTTGATTACCTGAGGGTGTTTGGTTATCAATGTCATGCAACAAACTTGCCTAGGGGAGATAAGATTGCACCTAGGGCTAGGAAGGTTGTATTTATTGGGTACTTAGAAACACAAAAGGGCTACAGACCTTGAACAAAAATCTTCTTTTATAAGTAGGGATGTGGTGTTTCAAGAGGGCAGATTTCCTTTCAAGAATATAGGAGTTGAAGCTGATGATATGTTTCACCAGCTGCCTATCTCACCAGAAGAGCGCATTCCTGCTTCAACGCCTATACAAGTTGTAACTCAAGAAGACACTGGTTCATCTATGAATCAGGATGACATTGATTTCCCAGAAAATGATCATGCCTCTGCAGACGTGGAACAAGAAGAAGTAGCCCCAATCCTTGCACCACTAGAGTATATGGACCTGATGGATACTCCAGATTCAGCATTAAAAGAGGGGTCAGAGGAAGCTCTCCCTGTTGAGCCTGTTGTTAAGCAAGCGCATGCACCAATAACAACAAACTTACCTACACAACCTGTTCAAAGAGAACCCAGAAAGACAAATCCTCCCATATGGATGAAGGACTATGTGACTACTACAAGCTGTCTGGGAACTGCCGGTTTCCAATTTCCAATCGTGTCAGGTATGACCATCTTACCACAGCATATCAAGCTTATTTACAAGCTTTCTCAATTCTTGTGGAACCTAAATCCTTCAAAAAGGCAGCACAGGATCCATAATGGATAAAAGCAATGAAACAAGAGATACAGGCACTAGAACATAATCACACTTGGGAGATTGTAGACCTCCCTATTGGAAAACAAGCTATAGGCTCAAAATGGGTATACAAAATAAAATACAAGGTCAATTGAGAGGTGGACAGGTCCAAAGCTATATTAGTGGCTAAAGGCTATATACAACAAGCTGGATTGGATTATCATGAGACTTTCTCACCTGTAGCTAAAATGGTTATAGTAAGAACAGTCATCAGTGTTGCTGCTTCTAAATATTGACAATTGTTTCAAATGGACGTCAATAATGCCTTCTTACAAGGTGATCTCACGGAAGAAGGCTATATGGATCTACCTCTGGTATTTCACAAATAAAGGGAGTATAAGGTGTGTATATTGTTGAAATCCCTCTATGGTTTGAAATAAGCCTCAAGTCAATGGAACATTAAGCTTACAAATGCCTTACTGCAAGCTGGCTACTCTCAAAGCTCATATGATCACTCGCTTTCTACTAAGAAATGTGGCAAGAACATTGTGATCATCTTGGTGTATATGGATGATTTGTTGATCACTGGGAATTCTCACAATATGATTACAGAAGTAAAGAAGACTCTTCATCACAATTTCAAAATGAAGGACTTAGGGAAATTGAGATACTTCCTTGGAATAGAGGTTCTAAGATGTAACGACCCGACCCGTCGTATCAGGTATTACCGCCCTGTTTTCCTTATTTATTGCTTCTTCATGTTTCATTATCAGTAACGAGTGAGTTAGAGTTGAATTGAATTGGTTTGGATAGGAAATGAGACACTTAGTCTCTTTAAGGAAGGCTTAAATTGGAAAAGTCAACCGGACGTTGACTTATGAGTTCGAAGGTTCGGATGTGATCTCCGATGATCCGGTTAGCTTCGGGAGATGATTTGTGACTTGGGAGCGTGATCTGAATTGGTTTTGGAGGTCCGGTGTAGAATTAGGCTTGAATTGGCGAAGTTAGCATTTTGGCGAAATCCGGTTGATATGTGAGATTTTGATCCGAGGGTCGGAATGGAATTCCGAGAGTTGCAATAGCTTCGTTAGGTGATTTTGTATGTCTGCAAATTTTCAGGTCAGTCGGACGTCGCTTGGTTGGGTTTTTGATCGAAAGTGCATTTCGGAAATTCTTGAAAAACTTAGGCTTAAATCCGATGTGAATTGATGATTTTAGTGTTGTTAGGTGTGTTTTGATGATTGGAGCAAGTTCGTATGATGTTTTAAGACATGTTGGTGCTTTTGGTTGAGGTCCCGGGGGCCTCGGGGTGATTTCGGATGGCTATCGGGATGAAATTCAAGTTGAGGAAATGGCAGATTTTGCTGGTATCTGGTATGTTCGCTTCTGCGGAAATGGACCGCATAAGCGGTTCCGCAGAAGCATAATCTTGGTCGCAAAAGCGGTCTGGAGTGGAGTTCGGCAGTTCCGCAGAAGCGGAACACTTTTCGCTTAAGCGAGTCCGCAGAAGGGGACAGGCGGTCGCAGAAGCGGGTTTGGCCAGGAGGTGAGCTTCCGTAGAAGCGGAAATTTGTGTCGCAGAAGCGGCCCTTGAGTTTTAATGAAATTCCGCATAAGCGGACAAAAACCGCAGAAGCGGTTGCGCGGAAGCGGGCGTGGGGACCGCAGAAGCGGAAACCCCTGAAGCCAGTAGGAGTTTTATATTCATTTTGTTCCGCGAGGGTTATGTTATTTCCACCATTTTTACGCGAGCTTGGGAGCTATTGGACGGAATTGAAGGGGGATTTCGACTAGGTGTGATTGGAGGTAAGTCCCTTGGCCTAAATACATGGAACTTTGATAGATTTAACATGAAAATTGGTTGAAATTCTTCAAAAAGGGGTAAAGCTAGGGCTTGAGTTTTTGATATTTTAAATTGCGATTTGATAGGCCATTTGAGCTCGGATTTGGGAGTTCTTGGTATGTATGAACTCGCGGCGAGACGAGGAATCCGGTAATGTGAGTTTTGTAATTTTTCGAGAAGTGGGCCCGGGGCTCGGGTTTTACTAGTTTCGAGATTTTTGCTATATTTTGATTGTTTTCGATTGGATATTGTTCCCTTAGCATATTGTGATGTATTCGCTCTGGTTTTGGTTAGATTCGACGCGCGTGGAGGCCGATTGAGGGGCAAAGGCGTCGCGAGCTAGGGATTTCACCGGTCCGAGGTGAGTAATACTTGTAAATGATATCCTGAGGGTTTGAAACCCCGGATTTGCACATCATAGTGCTGTATTGTGGTGACTTGCACGCCAGTTATGAGCGTGGGGTAGAGCACCGTTGGGGATTGTGACTTAGTCCGTCCCGGTTGTTGGTTTTATTGCGTAATTGACTGAAACTACTTGTTATCATCATTATTTGGGTTGATTGCTATATTTGGGCTTCGTGCCAATTGTTTGAATCCTTCAGGGAT